ATAAATACTCCTGTTTTTTCCAAGCGGTGGTAGCTGTGGCAGGCGGTCATCTTGAAATCAGCTGACTTCAAATTAGAATCAGTTGTAGATGTTCATCCAATAATTACTTTCTGAGAATTTTATTCAAATCCATCGAATGGCTCATGGCAAATTTTGCCAACAAACAGTGTTCATAAGTTTATACAGAGATTTTGTGCAGTCTTGGTTGATCAGTCTCAGCTATCATCAAAGCAAAGCACATCCTTGGTTAGTAGGTGTAAATGTAATGATATAAAAACCATTTTTTGTGTTTTTAAGGTTGGCTGTATTTGCAACCACTCTGCAGAGTTCAATAACCTTTGTTCAGTAGTTCACAAGATATTTTGCGAACAGACTGACAGACTTACAAACACAGACGTTTTTCAGTAAACATATTAGAGTAAAACATCTTTTTAATTCAGAAAAAACCCCAACATGTTAATTTATAAATTATTACTATTAAAACACTCACTTTAGTCATTAAACCTGCAGCTCCTCTCAGCATCGTTACATGGAACAGGCAACAAATAAAACAGCTTTCTAACAACTGCCTAAACTTATGGATGTTTTTATTCTTATTTTCACTGCAGTCCAGTCATTTCCTGACATGTAATTTGTGACAGAGGTGTCGTGCGGTTTTGCCGGGGACATACCCAACGGGAAGTTCCTGTACACGGATGAAACCTACATAGGGGAGAAACTTTATGCTGCTTGTAATGAAGGGTGAGCCTCTCCCAGAACAACTCCACTTCTAAAAAATACTTCAAATCAAAAACCTAAAGGCAAAACTCTTGCTTTCCGCGCCGACAGATACACTCTGAAGGGACTGAACTATATCGTGTGCATGAAGGACGGATGGAGCGGGGAATTTCCATCTTGTGAAAGTAAGCAACATGTTTACGTCTGATGAAACTCTGCAGCCTAATGTGGGCGGAGTTAGTAGGAATGATTAAAAGAAGCCTGATGCAACGGGAAGGATTAAATTTTATCCCTTTAAATCTTTGACACTTTTTTTCCACCTTAGGAATGAAATTGTGAAACTAGATTCCAAGGTTCTTTAAATCATGTGTCTACATGGTAACAACTGTAGTGTCACACTTTTATTTTGTAATAATCCATTTTGATGTTCTAATAGTTTTATTGCTTTTACAGGTTTTAATAAATGTAAAGGTGTTTAAAAAATTTTTGGAACAAAATTACAGAATTTTGGTTGTTTTGTGTTGGAGTCCTTACAAATCATCTTACTTTGTAAACATTTTTAAAGAGATGTCTTGGCTTTTTTTTAACATCAGCATAAGCCAATCACCAGTGAAGTTTCTGTGTGGTAAAGTAAAGCCATAAAGAATGGCTATTCAACTGCTGGCCCGTGGGGCGGATGTGGGCCGCGGGTGACTTCCATCCGGCCTGCCAATATGAAATTAATTTTACATAATTTAATATAAAAATAGATTTCAAATAATTTATAAATTTTAAAATTTATGTTTCAACAAAATAAATGTAAAAAGTAAAGAATAATAATGCTTGTTCTGTTACAGGAGGTATAACTTCATAAGATTCAATGTATATTATTCAGATTGTTCCATGTAAAACTATTAACTTGGGTGCAGCTCCAGAATCAGTACGTGACATTGCATTATATCCATCCATCCATTATATTTAACATCTCATTGCAGCATAAACAATCAGCTAAGTTGCTAAACATACATAAAAAAATTCATTGGCTCAAAATAAATTTTCAAACTTCGCCATCTTCAGTTTTCAGTAAGAAATCCACGCAAGTCTTTGTACATGAGGCCACTGACTTTAAGCTCCAGCCTGACCACTAGGGAGTGCTCATGTTGTTTCAGCTCAAGGAGGTTCTATAGAACAACTAGAGTGCGCTGAAACCAGGTGACCGCGTGATCGGTTGTAGAAGCTAACGGCTAACGCTAAATGGTCAAGACTCTGGATTTCCCATTACTGTACATGTTGACAACAGAGCAGAAAAAAAGGATTGACCATGTAGAAATCATAAAAATTATTAATAATAATATTAGCCCAATTATTATTAATATTTTATAGTTTATAGAATCTATTTAATGTTTTAAATAATGTCAGAAAAGCTGTTTGTGTTATGGATTTATTAACAAAAGATAAACAGGAAAACGTCTCATTTTACAACACGAGTCAGCAGATTTGATCTTATTTAGCTCAATGTGATCTGAGCAGAACATAATGTAACAGTTTAAAATTAAAATAGTCTTATAAAGTCCATGTAATCACTGTTATTTATTGAACTGGTTAGCAAATATTAGCTTGTAGAGCATATATACAGAGTTTAGCACTGTTGAATCATGCTACAATTTAACACAAACTATTAAATATTACTTATTACTTATTTAGACGTACAGAGTGTAAAATAATATTATAAATGTGAGTATTTTTAGGTTTCTGTTAGAGGAACCTGACCTGTTGAGAAGATGGTTAGGTAATAGAGACAAGTTTCATCCTACAACAGGTATACAGAGAACATTTTCAAAGTGACTGGTAAATATTTATTATTCTTATTTTTTATGACAGTAAGAAGAAATAATAAATATACTTTATTACAGCTGAAGTCATCATTTTTCAACTAGCTAAAGTCTAAGTTACAGGCTGACTTCAGGTCTGGTTTAGATCATTGTTACTTATAAATTATAAATTTTTCTGGTATAAATCTGCTGTTTTACATGATTGTTGAATGAAATTAACATAGTTATTAATTTATTGTAAAAATATGTGAAACAGATCCAGTTCAGCTGCTGTTTATTATTTTCTATGGAGGCTGTGAGCTGCTGCCCTTGTTGGACGCCATTTTTGCTCCTCCATGCTGTCACAGAGGCTAACAGTAGACGGGATGGGCGAGGCTCAGTCTAGTGTTCTTATTCAAGTCTATGTTTCAGCTTCAGCTCCCAGTTGTGTCTAGTTATACGTGGATTGGTGCTCCGTAAAATTGTTAAGAACAGTTAATATCTTACCTGTTGTAGATAAATGGAGAAATCAAGACTAAAGCAGATTGCTACCATTTCAAAACAAATCTATTTAATTCCAAATATCGTTTTATCGATCTGTTGGTGTCACTCAGTTATTCCAGCAGAAATATTATAGTTTTGCTGGATGTGTCACATTATGAACCGGAAGTGCTACAACCAGCTGCTGCTGCTGCTCTTAACTCCTGCAGCAAACCATAGAATTCAGCGTAGTGAGAAACTGACAGTGGTATAAACATATTCAACAGTCTTTGTTTTTCCTTCTTTCTGAGGAAATAAAATTCTCTTCCTCTCATCTTGTTTTCCAATCAGAGGTAGGGACCACCTGCAGCCTCCCGGCCGTGGCCAACGCTGTGCTGAAGAGTGATTCTCAGGTGCACCGTGTGGGAGAAAGACTCAACGTCACCTGTGAGCAGGGTTTCCAGCTGAACGGAGCTAATCTGCTGAGCTGTGGGCCGAGCGGCGAGTGGCAGCCTCAGCCCCCTCAGTGTCTGCCCGGTCCGGTTAAAACTCCGGTGTCCGCAGTCATTCCGAGTGAGTTTATATCGGACTAAACCTCAACCTGGGGCTTTTTATCAAATGTCACCCTCCAGTTTTCTGCCCCTTTCACTTAAATGTCCTCAAAGTTTTCCTCAATCTGAACTGTCCTTCCTGTCAAACCTGCTCAGGAGATGGATGTGGAGCTCCTCTGCCTGTCAGCGGCTCCAACGCCTACCTCTCTAACAAGTACGCCTTGAAGACGTCGTTTTCCTCCGGAGACAAAGTCTACTACAGCTGTAATGTTGGCTACACTGCAGAGGGAGGCAGGAGGTCTCGTGTGTGTGAGGATGGGGATTGGACGCCGCTGACTCTGAAATGTGAACGTAAGAACTTTTACCTCCTGCAGGCCTTCTGTAGGAAACTTTACAAATGCTTCTGCACTCCAAAAATACCTGGAGTGCTTTGATTGTTTAAAGATTGTGTGTAGATACAGAAGAAAAACAAGCAATGAAATTTTTTTTTTTTAAAAAGATGTTTTCTCATGGAGTCAACTAATGATGGTTTACTTAACACAGAAAACAAAAATCCTGTTTTTGAATAAATGTTTTTTAGAAGAATTTAGAAATTGAAACTGTAATATTGTACATTATAAATTTTCTATCCTCATAGTTTGTAGAGATTTAAATCTGACCTGATGAGTTTTTCATTCTTGACATTTCTTCAGGCCTGTTATTCAGTTCAGGTTCTTGTCTGGGTTGTTTACACACAAACTCAGTAACAGAGTTATCTGCACATCTCGGATTAGAAATTTAAACCTTCTTTTTATATTAAAGTAGACACATCATGGTTCTTTTTCACATCATTAAGTTAGGGTCTTTATAAAGTGAAACTGCAATGTTTTGGTCTGAAATCCTCCTTAATGTAACTCCACAAGCCCCTCTTTCACCCCTTTTCTGAGCTGTGTCTCAGATCAACTCGTTTTGAGGCTGTCTCTTTAAATCCAAATGAGTTGCTTCACAACCCTAACCCCCTCCAGCTTCCAGAGTGGTCCATTCTAGTTTGACAGAGAGGGTCACGTTTGTCTTGTGGTGCAGAAAACTTTTATTTACAAATAACTTAAAAGATGTCAACAAGGGAAGACTGGTTCATCTAGACTTACATGTTGGAGCCAGAGGACAATGACCACAACAAAATGTAGTTGGTAAGTCAAGACCTTATTTAATCTGTCTGTCATCCATCCATCCATCCATCCATCCATCCATCCATCCATCCATCCATCCATCCATCCATCCATCCATCCATCCGATTGTCCATCCATCCATCCATCCATCCATCCATCCATCCATCATCCATCCATCCATCCGTCCATCCATCCATCCATCCATCCATCAGTCCATCCATCCATCCAACCATCCATCCATCCGTCCATCCATCCATCCATCCATCCATCAGACTGTCCATCCATCCATCCATCCATCCATCCATCCGTCTGACTGTCCATCCATCCATCCATCCATCCATCCATCCATCCATCCATCCATCCATCCATCCATCCATCCATCCGATGGTTCATCCATCCATCCATCCGATGGTTCATCCATCCATCCATCCATCCATCTGATGGTTCATCCATCCATCCATCCATCCATCCATCCATCCATCCATCCATCTGATGGTTCGTCCATCCATCCATCCATCCATCCATCCATCCATCCATCCATCCATCCATCCATCCATCCATCCATCCGATGGTTCATCCATCCATCCATCCGATGGTTCATCCATCCATCCATCCATCCATCTGATGGTTCATCCATCCATCCATCCATCCATCCATCCATCCATCCATCCATCTGATGGTTCATCCATCCATCCATCTGATGGTTCATCCATCCATCCATCCGATGGTTCATCCATCCATCCATCTGATGGTTCATCCATCCATCCATCCATCCATCCATCCATCCATGGTTCGTCCATCCATCCATCCATCCATCCATCCATCCATCCATCCATCCATCCATCCATCCATCCATCCATCCA